ATGTGACTACATAAGTTTCACAAGACTGGGGCCTACTTAGCTAAAGTCACAGAAACCTCTTAACCTTCACAATCATCATCTTAATCTACAAAGCTTATGAACACTATGAACTTTAACAATAAAACTACTTCTAACAAATTGGGTGATACGTACATTTCCTTCCTTAGTATCAGCTGTTCCCTCTTTCTCTTTCTCTCTCTTTTTTGTTTTTTTTCCAGTAGTATTAGGGTTTGAACTCAGAGCCCTGCTCTACCATTTGATTCATGCTCCCAGTCCTTTTTGCTTTTCTTAGTTTTTTAATAGGATTTTGGTTTTTCTCAGGCCAACCTAGACTGTGATCCTCCTGTATTTCCCACGTAGCTAGAATGCCAGGCATGTGCCATCACATTCAGCTTTTAGTGGTTGAGATGGTAGCTCACAAACATTTTGCTCAGCATGGCCTTGAACTTCAGTCCTTCCAATCTCAGCCTCGCAACTAGGCGTTAGTGTAGGTTTGAACCACTGTCCCTGCCTGTAAGTGCATTTTTCAAACATGGATGACAGCACTGTGTGTGTAAAATGTCAACTCCCGCTGTGTCTGTTTCTTTTCACTTGACATTATTTGCTATGTCTTTGATCATATTTAGATGTGGTCTTCGTGTGTGTGTGTGTGTGTGTGTGTGTGTGTGTGTGGTTGTATATTATGCCGTGTTTAACTGCCACTCAGACAATGGTTCAAAGAATCGGGATACCCTAGAGTCCTTTGATCCGTAATGCACCTTATTTTACATGAATGTTTATCTGAGGCTCTCATTATGGAAATAAATAAATATCCTCTCTGCTAATAATGACCATCATTTGCATTTATATTGTGCCTTTCACTGGAGGATCTTAAGTTGTTTTACAATAATGAACTACCTCACGCGCGTGAGCACAAATGCATGTGTGTGCATCTGTATGCATGGGTGAGCTGTACACAGATATTTATTTAATAACTACCGGGAAATTTCTGTGGGAAATTGCATCGCTGTGTCATAGTAGCATGTGGGACCACGAGCGGAAGCTTCTCAACTTGTCCCCCAACACTCAGCTGGACGTCCAGGAGCTGGGCTAAGCGTGGCTGCCTGGAAGCCAGGAATGATGTGCATTTGAGGGCTCGATCTTGACGGAACAGGCAGCTCAGGTCTACAATGCAGGCCTCCAGCTCCTTAGTTGAAAACCTGGCATTTGGGAAATAACTAGAGCAAGGTCTAGTTTGGGCCAGTAACGCCAACAGAGACCACCCATTGCGTTTACTTGGCATGAAGGGGGCATTAGTTCCCACTTAGGGAAAGTGGTGTGGGATGAGAAATGATCGCCTTGGGGTTTACAAGGCCGAGTCACTTGCTTTGAAGAAGTTGGCTCATGAATATAGGCGGGACCTTTGTTCCTGGGACCTCCATCACTTGCTCCCCCGCTGGCTGCTCCAAAGTCCCAGCCTGCCTGCCTGCCTGCCTGCTTGCCTGCTGAGCCCCAGCGCTGGTTTCTGGGGCTCCAGTCTTTCCTACAGGGAAAGGAGGGAGCCACTGTTGCAGAAGGAGCCAGGAGAAACCCAGGCCCCCCAGGGACAGGGAGAGAGATGGTTTTAATTAGAGCTGAGAGCTGGAAAATAAGACAGAGACGGATGACATCTTAATGAGGTTTAATGAAGCTGTCTGCTGATGCGGACAGCTGTCACCCAGAGCTGTACTGCAGCCAAGCCACTTGGTGACAGAGGAAACTCAGGGGAAAGGCACAGTTTGAAGGCGGCAAAGGGATGTGTGGCAGCCACACCTCATTCTAGACCTCCTGGACAAGGGACCTCCGGCGAGAGAGTCCAGTCTGGGTGACTGATGATTGTCTGCAGTTCCCTGCCATGCAAAGCCACAGCGAGCCTGGTTAATAACCTTCAGGATTGCATGGGAGGTGCTTGAAGAATTCAGCCAGAAGAATGTGACTGGCGCTGGCGGCTCACGCCTGTAATCCTAGCAATTCAGGAGGCTGAGATCTGAGGATCACGGTTCAAAGCCAACCCTAGCAGGAAAGTCTGTGGGACTCTTATCTCCAATCCACCAGAGAATCCAAAGTGGAGTCATGGCTCAAAGTGGTATAGCACTAGTCTTGAGCAAAAGAGCTCAGGGACAGTGACCAGGCCCTGCCTGAGTTTAAGCCCCATGATGGATGGGGAAAAGGAGGAGGAGGAGGAGAAGAAAGAGGAGGAGGAGAAGAAGGAGGAAGAGGAGGAGGAGGAGGAGGGAAACAATATAGTTTTGTGGGAAAGGAAAAGCTGATTTCTATTTATTTGTTTTTGTAGCTAAATGACAGGTATGAATCATAGGCACCCAATTGAAAAGCTGATGTTTTAATGATGATGGTTCTGGTTTTGTGGTGTTGGTCATGGGGCTTGAGCTGGGCCTGGGTTCTGTTCCCCAAGCTTTCATGCTCAAGTCTAATGCTCTACCACATGAGCACAGCTCCACTTCTGACTTTTTGGTGTCAATTGGAGATTAGAGTCTCATGGACTTTCCTGCTCAGGCCGGCTTTGAACCACGATCCTTAGATCTCAGCTTCCTGAGTAGTTGGGATTATAGGCATGAGCCACTGGTGCCCAATACAGATGGTGTTTCAAGAGTTCTCAGTAAAGCTGATCTGTGTGGGTCCTGAGGAGCTGTCTATTACTCTTGGGTGTCCAGGAAGTATGGTTGAATGACAGGCAGGCAGATGTGTAACAAACACCACCAAACTGCTTTCCACTGTGCTTATACTATTCCACCAAGATCATCAGACTCTTGGCTGCTCCAAATCCTGCCAATAGCATTGAGATCTGACTTTGCCCACCTTGCCATACAGATCTTGGCTCCTGGGACATCCTTGTAATACAATACCTAATTAAGTCTTCTGCTGTTTTTTTTTTCAATCAGAGTACTTTCCTTGTTGATTTATGGCTGCTCTTTATGAAGGGCACAGAAGTTTCATCAGATATATGCATTGCAAATATCTTCTCTTATTTTGTGGCCTCAGTTATTTTTTTGTTTTGTTTATTTTTTGTTGCTTGTGGGGCTTGAACTCTGGGCTTGGGAGCTGTCCCTGTGTTCTTCAGCTCAAGGCAAGTGCTCTACCAGTTATCTAGTGGTTTATTGGAGATAAGAGTTTCCCAGAGTTTCTTGTCCAGGCTGGCTTTGAACCACAATCCTCAGATTTCAGCCTCCTGAGTAGCTAGGATTACAGGCGTGAGCTACCAGTGCCCGGCTATGGCCTCAGATTTTTTGAGCTTGAGCCCTTTGAGCTTTCCTACATCACAGTCCTTGGGATACTCAACTGTCATCATGTTGTGGGTGTGTGACCATGAATGTCCCGAGCCCAGAGGTCTGAGCCTGTCCTGTTCTCCTTAGAGCTCCAAGCACAGCACTCAGCACAGGTGACACACAAATGCATGTGGAGTGAAAGCACAAGCAACTCCTGTTGGCCAATGTCTTCTGCAGCTAGATTCCAGAAGCACCAAGTCCAAGGCACCTGCCCGCCGTTCCCCACTGCCCGCTCCCTGCTGGAGGGTGCTGTCTCCTGCCAGCTGGAAGTCTGCCCACCTGCCTCTGCCCCTGCCCCCCGGGCGCTGAGCCTCTCCTGGGGAGGCCCCGTTTTAATTACCTTGCCACTGTCCCTGGGGAGGCCGCCTGGTTTCCTAAACAAATGAGGGGCCAGGGCTTTGTCTGCAGCCCAGAGAGAGCCTCATGGGAGGACTTGCGGCAGATTACCCAGCAGGACCCCTGGATCTAGACAGAGGTGGAGTCTGGGATTTGAGATGGAGAGAAATAAGGAGCTGCTGGGGGTGTGGGGGGAGACTGAGGAGGACAAGGTCATGGAGGCATGCTGTGTCCTCCAAAACTCATAGGTGAAAATCCTGGAAGCCCCCTACAGGTAATTAGTCATGAGGGGGGTCTGGGGGACAAAGCTGCTCTCCTCAGCCTGTGAGATGTGCAGTCTACACGCAGGAGGCCGATGACATCTCCTGGGCTCAGCCCACAATGAGGAATGCTCTAGGCCAATGCCAATCCCAGAAGGCTTCCTGGAGGAAGAGGCTTCTGTGCAGGGTATTGTTCCATACTTGCTCTGTATAATACAAAAAGGCACAACCAGATGGTATAGGAACTTAGAGTCTAAACAAGGTGGTCCAACCTGGACATCCTTGGAAATGAAGTTCATTCTAAGCCCCAAATGAACAAGAGAGCTTATATGCAGAGGGGCTCTGGACCCTGGGCAGGGCGGGACCCCCCTGTCTCATGGGGGCACGGCTCTGGAGAGAAGCAGTCTGGGAGGGCAGGGCAGTAAAGAGCTCCACTAGAGCCATGCTGGTGGCTCAGGCCTGTAATCCCAGCCACTCAGGAGGCTGAGATCTGAGAGCCATGGTTCCAAAGACTCTTACCACCAATTAACCACCAAAAAGCTGAAAGTGGTAGTATGACTCAAGTGGTAGAGCACCTGGACCCTGAGTTCAAGCCCAGTCCCAGCACAGGTGCACCTGCCTGCCACATCCAGCCCATCCCTCAGGAACCCTGGAGAAGGCCTGGATTTATTTAGCTAGAAAATGGGAGGCTTGGCGAGGTTAATAGCAGATCAGCTTCCTTCCTTACAGACCCCTTCTGGGAATCAAAGAGCCAAAGCATTCTGCCCCCTAGAACCCGCTGTCCAGGGGCCGGGGTGGGGGCCAGAGGCGCCCACCAAGGCGAGGAGTCAGAGGGGAAGGGGTCATCTTTGGTGGGGATGGAAGAGCTACCTCCCCTCCCCCTGCCTCCAGCGCCTCCTTGAACTTGCCCTTACTGCCCAGGTGCCACCAGACACAGGTACCCAGCTTGGCAGTGGCCCAGGACCACTCTCCAGCTGGCAGATGGGTCACAGAGCCCAGGCCCCACCATCCCCTGCCGAGCATGCCTCAGTGTCCCCGCCTGCAGCGGCTCCTTGGGGTGCGGGGAACATGCTCTTACCTCTCCTTCTCCTTCCCCCAACAGGCAGAGCTGGGCAAGCCAAGGGAGAGAAACTGCAGCCTGCCCGGTGTTGAATTCAACTACGGCCTCTACACCCGGGGCCTGGACGGAGGGGTCCCCGAAGGTGAGGCACTGGGCGCCGAGCCGGGCTGGCAGGCCCCTCCCCACCCTGAGCGCTCAGCGAAGGTGAGGCACTGGGCGCCGAGCCGGGCTGGCAGGCCCCTCCCCACCCTGAGCGCTCAGCGAAGGTGAGGCACTGGGACTGAGCCGGGCTGGCAGGCCCCTCCCCACCCTGAGCGCTCAGCCCCTGGCCGGTGGAGATGACCCCGGGCTGTGGCTGTGGCAGTGGCAGGGCCACAGGCCATGGATGGATAAATGGGGAGGACCACACAGGGATGGGAATGGGGGGGCTGGAGGATCAACTAGGGCAGCCTTAGGAAGGGATTGGGGATCTGCCCATGCTTCATGCTGATGGAGCTTCGAGAATAGAACCAAAGGTGAGCACCATGGCTCACGCTTGTAATCCCAACTACTCAGGGGGCTGAGATAGTAGGATCACCATTCTAAGACAGTTTGGGGCAGGAAAGTCTTTTTTGTTAGTGGTGGTAGTGGTCTTGGGACTTGAACTCTGGGCCTGGGCACTGTTCCTCAGCAGCTCAAGGCAAGCACTCTACCACTTGAGCTACATCATCACTTCTGGTTTTCTGGTGCTTAATTGGAGATAAGAGTCTCACAGAGGGCTGGAAAGGTGGCTCAGTGGTAGAGTGTTTACCTTGCATGCATGAGGACCTGGGTTCAATTCCTCAGCACCACATACACAGAAAAAACTGGGAGTGGCGCTGTGGCTCAAGTGGTAGAGTGCTAGCCTTGAGCTGAAGAGCACAGGGACAGCGCCCAGGCCCAGAATTCAAGCCCCACGACCAACCACCCCCCCAAAAAAAAAGAATCTCATGGACTTTTATGCCCAGTCTGTCTTTGAACTGTGATCCTCAAATCTCAGTCTCCTGAGTAGCTAGTATTACAGGCGTGAGGCACTGGTACCCAGCTAGGAAAGTCTTTTTATCCAATGAACCACCAAAAAAACAGAAATGGAGCTATGGCTCAAGTAGTAGAGCAACAGCCTGGAGCACAAAAGCGGAGGGACATCTTCCAGGCTCCAAGTTCAAGCCCCAGGACGTGCACACACATGTGTACACACACACACACACACACACACACACACACACACAATGCAAGCCTCTGATGGCCCCACTGGGATCAAGGCCAGGCAAGCCCGCTCCATGGCAGACACTCCGGGGCCTGTGGGAATCCCTCTTTTTCAGGTCTTCTGGTTTCCAGGGCATGCAGGGCTGTCACCGGCAGTGTGGGATGAGGGAACCCTGATTCTTCTCTGCCGCCTCGGGTTCTTCACCCCCGGTTGTCTCCCTGTCCCCAGCCATCGGGCACTGGAACGTGCTTAAGCAGCAGCCCACCTGCCCCCAGGAGCTGACCCGGAACTACATCGCCATGAACCGAGGGGCGGTGAAAGCCGGCCTGGTGACGGCCCACGAGAACATTCTCTACCGGAGGCTCAATGACATCCGCATCAGTGAGCAGGATGACCGGCGCCTGAAGAAGGAGCCACCGTCCATCCCTGCGGACATGACTTTCGGGATCCAGTCACGGTGAGGCCCCTGTGCCCTCCCCCGGGTCTGTGACGCGGCTGGGGGTCCCCATCCTCGTCTCCATCAGGCAGAAAACGGAAGGGAAGGGCTCAAGGAGATGGAGTGGAAAGTGGGGAGATGGATTACAGGACCCAGGTTCAAACCTGGCCTGTGGCCGTGATTACTGAGGGCCACGCCTCGGTTTCTGATACCCAGGGCATTCTGTGACCTGCTGCTCAGTGCAGAGCTGGGGCTCTGGGACCCCTTCATAAATGTCAGTTCCCACCCTGCAGTATAAGCTGCAGACTCAAGATCTATGACATTTTGGCTAGGAAGGTGCCTCAGTGGTAGAGTGCTTGCCTTGCATGCATGAAGCCCTGGGTTCAATTCCTCAGCATCACATAAGCTTAAAGTGGCGCTGTAGCTCAAGTGGTAGAGTGCTAGTCTTGAGCAGAAGAGCTGAGGGACAGCGCTCAGGCCCAGAGTTCAAGCCCCACAACCAACCAAAAAAAAAACAAAAAAAAAGACCTATGACATTTGAAGAAATATTACCAAGATTTGACTTAGGCATCATCAAGTGCATAGACCACCAAGTGTTCATCTTAATGAAGTTTGCAAATGGAAATGCTCCTGTAAGAACCACTCATACACATCGCTCGGTACCCTGGCTCACACCTGTGGTCCCAGCTACTTGGGAGGGTTAGAGATCGGGAGGAGGGAGGTTCAAGGCCAGCCAGCAGGGGAAAAAGTTTTTGAGACTCCCGTTTTTTTTCAGCCACTATAGCTGGGCTTGGTGGCATACACTGGCCACCTTGGGAGGGGAGGCTCCTGGTTCCAGGCCAGCTCCAGTTAAAAAGAAAAAAGCAAACCCAGTTGGCCCACCAGGAAGCTCCAGAGTTACCTGGGAAACATCTGTTTGTTTTGTTTTACTGGTCGTGGGGCTTGAACTCTGGGCCTGGGCGCTGTCCCTCAGCTCTTCAGCTCAAGGCCAGGGCTCTACCACTTGAGCCACGGCGCCACTTCTGGTTTTCTGGTGGTTCATTGGAGATAAGAGTCTCACAGACTTACCTGCCTAGGCTGGCTTTGAACCATGATCCTCAGATCTCAGCCTCCTGAGTCGCTAGGGTTACAAGCATGAGCTACCAGCGCCTGGCAAAACATCTGTTCTTTGGTGCCATGACCACACAGACCAGGGAGTTTGTTGCATGTTCTCAGCAGGTCCCTATCCTCACCAGCTCTTTTGAGTATGCATGCAAGATCATTAGTCATTCTACTTGAATTTTTTCACAGTAGTAGGATTTATTGTGTTTTTTTCCAAAAATTTTATTGTGATTAAGTGGTTTCATAATTTCCCAAGTTTCACAGTATTGTGGGATAGTGATGCGTAGTTAAAGTCACAAACACATTCTAACTTTCATGGAGTACTAGGATTTGAACTTGTGGCCTTGTACTTGCTAGGCAGGCACTCTACCAGTTGAGGCATATCTCTATACCTTTTGCTTTTTGTTTCACTAACTTTCCCTGTGCCAGGCTGAGACTATGATCCTCCTACCCTTGCCTCCTGATTAACTGGGACCACATGCGTGCACTGCTATGCCCTACCTTTCTCTGTATAATTGTTTTTTTTTTGGTCAGTTGTGGGGCCTGAACTCTGGGCTGGGTGCTGTCCCTGCGCTCTTCAGCTCAAGGCGAGTGTTCTACTGCTTGAGCCACAGGGCCATTGGTTTTCTAGTGGTTTATTGGAGATAAGAGTCTCACAGAGCCTGGCACTGGTGGCTCACGCCTGTAATCCTAGCTACTCAGGAGGCTGAGATCTGAGGATCGCGGTTCAAAGCCAGCCCGGGCAGGAGAGACCGTGAGACTCCTATCTCCAATAAACCACCAGAAAACCGGAAGTGGCGCTGTAGCTCAAGTGGTAGAGCGCTCACCTTGAGCTGAAGAGCTGAGGGACAGCGCCCAGGCCCAGAGTTCAAGCCCCACGACCAACAAAAAACAAAAAACAGAGAGGTTACAGTTAAATATGTAAGGTATGAGTACATTTCATTTTGAACAGTGTTTTCTTCCTTGTTTTATCCCGCTTCACACACACACACACATACACACACACACACACACACACACACACACACACTCCCCCCTCTCCTTTACCTTTTGTGTATCATTTGGGCAGACACAGAGTTCCCTGTACTAGTGTAGGCCTTGGTCTTGAGCTCTTAGCGTGGAGCTATCACTTGTGTTGAATGACGTGGACATTTACACACCCCAGTGCTAATGCCCATGTCCTTCCCACGGGCACACACCTATGTGGGAAGGGAGGGGCTGTGGCCACACAGTGGGGAGCTGGGTTGGTTCCCAGCCTGTCGCCACAGCTGGGAAGGCAGCCCCTCTGGAATCCAGCATCTGGGCAGAGCCACACCCCCTCCCCGCTCCTGTTCACTCAGACCTCAGAATTCTAGTCAGGGAAGAATTTTAAATTCTCATTACCAGCGTGTAAGGCCCTAACCCAGATCTCAAAGCACACGGCGACCCAGGGTCCAAACACAGATATGTCTGGAGGCCAGACATGAAACTATTAAAGGAGCGTTTAATTATTGATGTATTTTAATAAGTGTTTGCAAATGCCCCCGGCACATCTTAATTGTTACTGCTTGTAATTGGCAGAGCATTGTCAGTTACAGTGAGTCAGGGATACAGGAGCTGAGCCCCGAGCCCCGAGCCACGGCGCTGGGAACAGCTGGTGTTCCAGGTGGATCCTGGGGACCCAGGGCTCTGCCATCGCCCTGCTTACAAGCCACATGCTACACTGTGGGCAGAATTACCAGCAGGAGGATTCCATCATTCTGTCAGCGAGCAAGCAGCCCAAGCATTGGCGTGTGGCACAGGCCAGATGAATGCATAGTGCTGCTGTGTACTGTTGGGGTTACATGTCAGAAACCACCGCAGGTGCACCCTCTGTGAGCAACAGGGCAGCTTGCTGAGCACCTGCTTGCAATTCTTCATCCCCATCTGCAGAAGGGAAGACTGAGGGTCAGAGAAAGGGAATTGCTTGCCTGGGAGACTGGCTACAGCAATGATTGGCTCATCCATTGAGGGTTGAGGGGCCATCACTAGAGGGAGTACCCCCAGTTTTTCCTGCCCTGGAAGAGGTTATGTGACAGGACAGGGTCTGTCATTTTTTTCTCAGATCTTTAGAACACAATCTGAAAATATTTAAAGCGTCTGTTAAGCTTCCTTTTTTTTTTTTTTGCCAGTCCTGAGGCTTGAACTCAGGGCCTGGACGCTATCCCTGAGCTTCTCTGGCTCAAGGCTAGCACTCTACCACTTGAGAGCCGCAGCGCCGCTTTCAGCTTTTTCTGTGTATGTGGTGCTGAAGAATTGAACCCAGGGCTTCATGCATGCTGGGGAAGCGCTCTACCCACTACACCACCTTCCCAGCCCTCAGCTTCCCTTTTGTTGTGTCATTGGTCGGTCAGCTTTCTGTGAGTATAACAAAATGCCTCAGGTAATCAGCTTAACAGGAGGAAAGGTTTGTTGGGCTCAGGCTTGCAGAGGTGCTGGCCCCTGAGCAGTTGGGCCGTGGCTTTGGGCCTGTGGTGGGATGGCATTGTGGGGTGGAGCCTGCTCCCCCCACAGGGAGGAGGGGAACAGAGAGGAGAGGAGGAGGAGGGCCAGGCTGCAGTATCCCTCCTAGAGCTCACCTCCAGCTAGCTCCACCTCTTAAAGGTCCTACCACCTCCCAGCATAGCCATGGGGGCCTCAGGACTTTTAGCACATGGGCCTTTGGGGACCCCGCACCCCACCTCCCAAGCAGGTCACTTCCTTTACTTTCAGTGTCTTCCTAGTAGACTGATTCCTTTGACATACTGAGTGCTTTGGGCCTGCATCTGTTCACCCCAGTACTTAGTGCTGACCACAGTGCCTTTGCTGAAGAAGCCCTGAGTAAATGTTTGCTGAGTGAATTCATGATCAGCTGGTCACATCCAGAACTGAATGTTAGGCCAGTAGCAAAAGGCACCTTCCACGGAACCTCTAGTCCCGGCCTTAGTGCTGTCCGTGGAGAGAAGATGGAAGCGCAGGGACTCCCTGCAGTCACGTGTCACCCGCCTGACAGTGACATGCGTGAAGGATGGAGGAAATTTTCAGGCTGTTAAAAAAAAAAAGCTTGCTCCCTGACAGGGTGTTGAATCTCCCTGCCACACTGATGCATTTTACAAATTCACAGCCGCCCCATTCATCAGTCTGGGCCTAGAGTTGGTGGCCAGAACCCCAGCCAGCTGACCTAGATGGGAGCAATCAGGCCCTTCCCAAGACGGCCACGCCGGGCGGCCGTGAGCCGAACTGGGCTGACCACAAGGGGGCGCAGCGAGAACTGGGAAGGCTAGGCCTGGGAGCCGCCACCTGCTCCAGTCCATGCCAGCCACCCGCTGCACCGCTCTGCAGGGGCACCGGGACCCCAGGTGACCGACCATGGTGGGTTCAGTCACCCGCAGGGACCAGGGTGTGGCTCCGTGGTGGAGTGAGGCCCTGCACTCTGTCCCCAAAATTATCTAAGTTTTATAGTTTGTGTGTTATATACCATATGTATATCATATTGTATATTATATATACATATATTACCAGAGCCCAGTACCATGCCTGGAACTGGGTAAGTTTGTTACCCAGACCTTGAAACAGTAATTAAAAATAAAGAGATCCAAGCTGGGCGTGGGTGGCTCATGAATATAATCTTAGCTACTCAGGAGAGTGAAACCTGAGGATCACAGTTCAAAGCCAGCTCAGGCAGGAAAGTCCATGAGACTCTTATCTCCAGTTAACAACCAAAGAGCTGGAAATGAAGCTGTGGCTAAGTGGTAGAGAATTAGCTTTGAGCAAGACAGCTCAGGGATAGTGACCAGGGCCCGAGCTCAAGCCAGGACTAGAACACAGAAAGAGACAGAGAGAGAGAGACAGAGAGAGAGAGAGACACACACACACACACACAGAGTAGATACAGAAAAGGAATGGCAGAACCAGAGAGTCTT